GCGCAGCAAAGAAGACGTAGACGAGGGCCCGAACGTGAAGGTCATCGTTCTGGGGAACTCCCACCGCGGCGGCGCAGCCAGTTCCTTCAGCTTCGAAGTGTTGAAGTGAGCGGGGGCCATGCAACACGCGCTGCTCGCTTCGAAATTCGGCTGTGGTCTGGTCTGGCGCATTCCGCAATCGTTGTCTCGCTGCTCAGTAAAACAGCAATGCGGACCAGCCCCAAGGACACGCCGTGCCTTTACTGCGGCAAGATGCTAACAGCCCGTGGAGTTGCAGAACACGAGCGTCATGCTTGCAAGAAGAATCCGAATCGACGCAAGCGCACTTTTGGAACGAAAAAGTGCGCTGTATGCGGAAAGTCTTACCACGCTGCTGGTCTGCGGGCGCACATGGCGACGCAGCACCCCCTCGCTTTTGCACGTGCGACAGGGAGAAGGAAACCAAGCTCGCGTGCGGCCCAGCGGCGCGAGATGGCTGCACGCGCGTCAAGTGTGAGGAATCATGAGCGGTCGACGTCTCCAAAAGCCTCAGGCAAACGGACAGAGTACGCGGCTGGTTGCCGTAAACATTCGCATCGCCCACGCGCCACGTCTCCACCGAAGGCCGCGCCAAAGCCCGCGGAGCCACGCAGCTCAAGCAAGCGTGCGCAGTCGAATCAATCGCGCAAGCAGTCGCACAATCAGTCACACAAGCAGTCGCGCAAACCAACGGTAGACCGCACCAGTGGCAGCGCAAGCCGGCGGGCATGGGCGGAGATGCAACAGAAAATGTCAGAGGCTGCCGCCAAGTAGCCAGGAAATGTTTTGGAACAGGCAATGGGCAGGCGCAGCCCATGTGCAGTCTTCAGAGAGCATAGGCGCTCTGCGCCGCGCGAAGCGCTGGACCCTGGCGAGGGAGAGGCCATGCTGGGCCAGGCGCTGCACGACCGCAGCCTGCCCCGAGATTCTCCGCGGGGCGAAACTGCTGCGTGTCCAGTGCCGTGGGCGTAAGAAGCGCCGCCACTTTGCGCCCGCGAGCAGAGTTGTTGATTTTTCCCGAGTGCTGGCGGCGTGCCCGTGTGGACTTTTCACCAAGCCCCGACGCCTATGCGAACATTTTCCACCCGCGCTTAGAGTTGCTGAGTTTTTCCCGAGGGCTGGCGAACAGAGTTGTTGATTTCTCCCGAGCGATGGCGGCGTACCCGTGTGGAATTTTCACCAAGCCCCAGCGCCTATCCAGACATTTCCACCCGCGCCTAGAATTGTTTTCCCGAAGGCTGGCGGCCCGCCCGTATGAGATTTTGATTTAGCCGTGGCGCCACTCCGGACAAGTTCCGCCCAATCCTAGAGTCGTTGGCTTTTCCTCGAGACAGGTGGCCACCGTGTCGGATTTTCACCAAGCCCTGGCGCCAAGCTGGGCATTTTTTGCGCATTCCCTGAACAGTTGACTTTTCGCGTGTGGTATTTTCACAGACAGCGTGTGGTATTTTGGCACCTCGGAGAAATTTGCATTCAAGACCAATAGGGGGAAACGACGCCCTGAGCCCTGCGCTGGGGAAATCTCCGCAGCGCCGACTGTGTGTCGGTCAGGCGCTGGGTTTGCGCAGTGCTTGGCCCAGCAAGACACTCCCCGGCCAGGGTACAGCGCTTCGCGCGGCGCAGAGCGCATATGTTCTCTGAAGATGACACATCGACTGCGCCTGTGCATTGTCTGGCCCAGTGCATTTCCTGGGTTGTCGCGCGCACGAAACATTTCTGCATGTCGACTCATAGTTAAACGCTTTACCCCCAGCTCACTGTAGCTGCTGCGCGCTGTCAGCGGAGTCCGACTGGATGAGCGGCGGTGGGTGGTCTTGACTTGTGAATGGCTACGCGGCGCATGAAGAGGCGGCTACGGTATCCGCTGTTTCTGTGCAAACATAGCGCTCATGCGTGCATTCATTTATGTAATCCAGCGTGCAGGGACGATGGCCGCTGCCGCCTACAGTCGCGCGTGCTACGTTGCGCATGCGGACGAATTCAGACGACGGCACGGAGCGATACCGATTTCTGCGGGTGTTTGTTAAATGGCCTGCGAGGTTGCAGCGTTTCTCGAACAGTTTCCAGGCGCAGTCGACGTCGTTCTCGTGAGATCAGAGCGGTGGACCGAGGAGCACAAAGCAATAATGGAAGCCTTCACGGAAGGCGTTCGGATGTTTTTGCGACAACGCAGGCACCTGTCGTTCGAACAACTCCTCGACGAATTCCAGGAGCGCCAGCCGTGCGCAATGAGCGACACATTGCAAGTCTCCCTTCTGTACGGTCGAGAACATGGTCTGTACCTCGACGACAACTCTGAGCTGAAAATGGATGTCAAAGGTTTGGTCTTTAAGAAGCCGTGAGCGGGGGCATGTTCAACCATTGATCACGACGACGCGGACATCGCTGTCGTCTCCGTGCGGCGAGGCAAAGCGCTCCGCTGGGCGCGCGCCCGCGTCGCCTGCTGCTGGAAGTGCTGCGCCGCGAGAAGCGAAATCGCCTGCGCAGATACTCAGAGCCTCGCGGGGCGTGATGAGGGAGCACCAGCGCCCCCGTAGCGGCACATCGATGCAGAGGCGGCGCAGAGCAGTACGAATGGTGCGCGAGAAGCTGGCGCAAATGCGAAGATTGGCCTTGAGGCCCACGAACACGGCGTTGCCACGGTCGTCACGGAAAACGATCGACTGGGCGCAATGAAGTTCGGCCCAGCGACGCAGATTGGTCAGCTGGTCGTCGCGGAGCACGGGGAGCGTGCAGCGGAACGCCTTGGAAGTCTGCATGGTCGATGTTTTACAGGGGGCGTGATGTCTAAGTAGCGCGACGTACTGTCCGTGCGCAGCGACTTCGTGTCGTATGCAATTGTTGCCGTTTCGCCCCCCAAGTCAAGTCGAGGTCGCTTGCGCTTAATGCAAGGGGAATGTTCAATGGTGCCTCCAACTCTGGCGCTTCTTTCGCTTCGGCTACAAGCAGCGCGGCGCGGAGCGCCTTCGCGCGGTATCGCTGCGCCAGCTGTCTGCGCTGCTTCTTGGAGCATCTGGAGTGCGGCAGCGCGTTTCGCTTCGTCTGATCCAATGCTGCTGATAGACTCGCGGATGCTGCCAGACGTCGTCGTCGTCCTCCTCCGATGCGCCACGGGCTGATGCAGGCTCTGCCGGCGGGCAGCTCCGCAGAGCGCTCCGCGCCGCTTGCCGCGCATTTCTCTTGGCCGGTATTGTAAACGCACCATGACCTCGCCCTCCGCGGGTCGTGAAGAGCTGCTGCGCTGGTATGCCAAATAGGATGAGGTCCTGCAGCTGTGAATTCGCCTGCTGGCTTGCCAAGTTGCAGAATTGAAAAGCACAAGCACGGGCCAGGAGCTCCCGGGGGCGTGCCGGGGAGCACGCGAAGATAGAGCGGTGTTCGATTTCATAGCGGACTCGCTGGTAAAGCCTCTGCTGAGGTGCCGCGCCAGAGAGGCCGTGACCAACCTCAGTGCTCCCGGGCGGTGCCGGCGCCAGGGGAGGAGGCGACGCCGGCGCTGCGCGCAGCGAGGACGAGGAACCACCGTGGGGCCAAGGAAGGCCGCTGCGAATTAATCGCGCATCCAGCGGGTGCCTGAGCATTATCCCAATGCGCACGTGTGTCGTGAAAAAGAAAGCCTCGACCGCGGGTAAAAATTTTGCAGCGCATCAACGCGCAGAAAAGATGACTGCAGCACAATTTGGCTGGTAGAAATTGCCACAGCCGCCTGTGCGCTGCGAAACTTGTCACGCGGCGCACGCGCGGCAGATTATTTCGCAAATGCTCGGGCGGATTCCTCCCGCGACGGCCCCTCGGGCGCGGGGAGAAGCTGAGCATCGCTCTGCAGGGAAGATGTCAGCAACGCACATGGCCTTGGAGAAAAATTGGCGTGCAGCAAGCTTATGCGGAGAGAAAACCAGCCGCGGCCAGTGTACCGACGCGACCTCTCAGTTCAACTTACCTTGCGATGCCATGTGCGACCCTGGCGTATTCGCGGCCCCCGCGACGCCTGCCGTAGCGGCGCTCCTTGGCCCGAGGTGTATTTACGATACACCTCCGCGTGTTATGTATCCTGGGGCCGCATCATGTGGCTGCGTGCGTGATGTTTCCTGCCCGTTGTGTCCCTCTGCCGTTGTTGCCGTCGCAATACCTCCTCCCACGCGCGACGTGCGCGCTCTGGATCTGCGAGGGTGCGCAGGTCGGTGGTTGCAGCCTCGGCCTGTTGCGGTGGAGTATCGCGCTTGCGCTTTGCTTGTGGGCTCGCGCTGCGCGGGCGTTGCTGGTCTGCCTCGGGCGAGCGCTTCCGCTTGAGCGGCGCTTTGTGGTGCTTGACGCTGTGGGGGCTCTTCGCGTATTCGTCGGGGTGCTGCCCTGCCGCGTGAACTCGCAGGCTGTTCCCAGAGTGGAAGGATTTACCACAATACTTGCAGCGAGCACGTGCGAACAGCCGCTTCGTCGCAGTCGACATCGGGGAGCACCGGACTTGGCGCAGGTGCTCCTTCAGACCCTTACGAGTGAAAAGCCGTTTGCAGTGCGGGCATTGCGCGTCCCTCGGCGATTTCCTCATTTGCTTTCAGCAGCAGTTTCCTGCAGTACACAACGGCCGATAGGCGCCACCACTAGCGCCGATGCTGCGTCTGGCACGGATGAGGGCTTCACTGGCCAAGACACCGCCAGGCACAAGACGCCGCTGCGAAGCGGCCTGCAGTTGCACGCGCGACCCTGCCGGACGACTTCAGACAAGGGCACGGAGCGATGTCGATTTCTGCCGGCCTCGTTAAATGGCCTGCGATGTAGCGGCGTTTATCGAAAACGGTCCAGGGGCAGTCGACGTAGTTCTCGTGCACGCAGAGCGGTGGACAGAGTATCACAAAGCAATTACAGAGGCGCGCAGGCACCTACCACTCGAACGACTCCTCGGAGAATTCAAGGAGAGTCAGCCGTGCGCAGTGAGTGGCTCGACGACAACGCTAAGCTGAAAATGGATATCAAAGGCCTAGTGTTCACGAGGTCGTGAGTGCAAGCTCAACCACTGAGCGCGACCATGCGGACATCGGTGTCGTCTTTGTGCGGCGAGCGAAGCCATCGCTCGCGCAGATGCTCATGGCTTCGGCTGGCGTGATGAGGGTGGCCCAATGCCCCCGCAGCGGCACATCGATGCAGAGGCGGCGCAGAGCAGTGCGGACGGTGCGTGCGAAGCTGGCGCTCGTGCGGAGCGGCTCCTTGAGACCGACGAGCACCACGCTGCCGCGCTCTCCACGGAAGATGCTCGACTGTGCACAGTGCAACACCGCCCAGCGCGCCAGGTGCGTCAACTGGTCGTCGCGGAGCGCGGGGAGCGCGCAGCGGAAAGCCTTGGACGTGTGCATGGCTGTTTATTGGACACGCGATGTCGAAGTAGCGAAATCCCACAAGATGGCGAGATCTCAACGGCGCTGTGGTCGCGCGCCGGGGGGTGGCGCCTTGCCTCTCGACTACGCGCGAGCATGCAGCAATCCCTCTTCAAACGCCGTATAGAGTTCTTCGTCGCTGCCATGCAGCACGTCGATACTCACCCTAACCGCGGCTAACATGCAGTCGACAAGATCGACCAGAGCGCAGCCAGAGTCGCGCCAAGCTGCGGCCATCGTCTGCCCTTGCTTCACCCGCTCCAACCATGCAACCGCAAGCGGCAAACCTGATACGTCGGCATCCCAGCCCGTAAGGTACGCTTCCCTCATGGCATTCTCTGGATCACCCATGCGGAGGCCGAATTTCAACAGAGCATCGACAAGGAAATCGCCTGATGCAAACCGGGTATCGGAGGCGCATCTACGCAAGACGCTGGCTTTCTCTCCACCAGGGTTGTCAAAGAAGGCGCGCTTCTCGAGCAGCAGGGCATACAACTCCACGATGTCAGCCTCCGCGCCCAAGAAGCTAACCTCATCTAAAGAGCGGGATGAATCCAACGCAGCCTCGATGCGGGCCAACGCTGCTGCTCTCACGGGTGGGCCTTCCCATTTCGACAACATCAACCTGAAGCAGGCAGAGCGCGACTTGGCGCCCGCCTCAATGTACCCCATGATGCGGCGCTCTCTGAAAAAGCAATCCGAATACACGCGGCGCAGACATTCGTCAGCCAGGCGAAGCGTGCGCGGGCTGGCCAGGGTGCGCGACTTGTCCTGGAACCAGGACCGATCCGCGGCCATTATGCGCGCATCGAGCGTGAGTTCCGGGTACGGGCGCCCCAATTAAGCAAGCGTACTCTGCCAGCTCACGCAGATCAAGGTGCGGCAGGAGCCATTTCTCCATGAGTTCCACGGGCAGGGCGCTCGCAGTGGAGCTGCCTGGGGCCTCTGCGTGGGTCGGATGCCTGGACACGCAGCATCGCTTGCGCGCGGCCATGACCTCGGACCCTGGCGCTGCTTGTGCGTGCCCCGAAGCGCAGCGGGGAATGGTGTGGGAGCGCGCGGGAGTGAGTTGTGCGTTCAGTGATGTATGCTCAGGCCGTAGATGCCTCGAGAATACGTGCCAACGCCTGCGTGAGCAGTCTGCTAGAGCCAAGGTTGATGCTTTTCCTTCAGGCTCGATCCGTACCCGGCCTCTGCAGACGCACCTGCAAGCCAGCGCGGCTGTCCATGGCAGTGCGCTCGGGGCGCCGGGTCTCCGCTGCTGAGCCTCTCGGGCGCAGTGGTTGTTGCACGGACGGCGCTGACGCGGCTGGAACATGTCCTATAAAGTTAAATGGCGACGCTGACTGTGTTCAACAGAGCGGAGGAAATCGTGGCGGACGGGCTGTCGTTCACGGACTTCAAGCGACGGTTCGGCAGAGGCTCCGCGCTGATTATAACTCTAGACTGTGGCGAGGAGATTCTCGTGGACTCCTGCAGACTCTTCAGAAAATTACCACCAAAAGCCCACTACAGTGCGAAGCTCCTGAAGAGGACGCCAAGCATACCGGACGGCCTCGACGCCAAAAACCACATAGTGTGGATGCCGGTCTGAACGCCGCTGACCAGCGCAGTCGCCATCTGCTGCCGAGAGGGAGGCGCTCTCCGCCAGTTGGCGACGGCCCGCGCGCGAACCTGCCGCAACCAGCTGAGGTGGTGCACAATCTCCAGCTTGGCATCGGGAAGAGCAACCTCGCGTTGCCGCTGCCTGGGGTCGAGCAAGGAGCGCGCAGAGAGGCGCTGGGCGTTGCGAGCCAGGCCGGCGCGCTTCAAATACCGAGTGAAAAAATTGGGCCCGTTGTCTGGAACGCGTAATGCATCTTCCAGTGGGTATACACCGGGATGGCCTCGACGCGAGCCAGGTTAGCTGCGAAATCCTCGAAGATCCCCACGAGCCCCGTCTCTGTGTAGAGGAAGTCGTTGGCGATTACGTTCCTCCGCGAGCACCGGTCGAAGGTGCAAGGCGAGACCACGATGTCGTCGAGGTGGCAGCGCGGGAGCACGTCGAGGTCGCACACCACCCCGCCGTGCGCATCGGCGATCGCGTACTTCGTGACGTCGACGCGTTGAACGGGGTACCGCGTCCCATGATAGACATCGAATGAGGCCGTCTACCGCTTCTTCGTCCCACAGGCGGTACTCCCACCCGTCCATCGCCGCGAACGCATCGCGTGAGGCGACGAACGTGGGATAGTCCTCCAGGGTCCGGCCATCCGGGTGAAAGCGGAAGAACACCTGGTGAACGCGACGCACCGGCGCCATCCCTTTCCTGGAGGCCGGCGCTCCGCCGTTCAACCCTCGGCCGCGCGGGCAAACTCGGCGCGGTGCCTGCCTCGTTGTGCCCCGCTGCCCTCGGAGATGGGCCACGGCGTCCATCTTCTGTCGGAAGAGCCGCCCGCAGCGCGGGCACTCGTGCTTCGGCGGCGGTATCTCCGAGTGCTCGTAAGCGATATGGTGCACGAGGGTCTGCGGCCGCGCGAAGACCCTCGAGCAGTGCACGCGCGCCGTTGCAACGCGCCGTCCACTAGGCGCGCACGCTGGGCGCGGGGCGGCGACGATCTCACAAGCGGAGCGTGCGCGTCATCGCCGTCGTCGCCGGAGTCGCTGCGCGCGGCCTCGGAAGCCGGTCGCGCGCAATTGAGACTGAGACCACCGCGGCCGCTGGGCGCGTCGCTCGCGTCCATTTTCTCTTCGCTCGCGTCGCTGTTCTCGCGTCGTCCGCGTCGCTCGCCTCAAGTTCGCGCGTAGCGCCGCGCCGAAACACGCAGCGATTCGGCGCGCCGGGCATGGCTGCGAGCAGCGCTGGGAACTCTGCGCAGAGCAGCCGGACCACCGCGTCGTGCGTGGCCGCTCGCTCCGCCTTGGTGAACTGGTCTTGCAAGCCGCCCGCGTTGCATGGTGCGCACGCGAGCCTGGGCGCAGGCCCAGTTCAGGCGCAGGATGCCGCCGTGATCCGCGCAGTAGCGCAGCGTCTCTCGATGTCCTCCGCAGCACCGCGCGTCATTGTGCGGCAGAGGCACAGGCTGCGCACCCTGGATGACAACGTAGCAGTAGCCGTTCACCAGGCTTGGAGCGCGGGACGTCGCGGCCCGCAGGTTCCATTCGCGGACGTGTTCAGCCCCCAGAGCTTCACGCCGGCATGCTCCGCCATTAGGAACACGTGCGTGAACAGTTCGTTGAGCGCCCTCCTGGCGTCCAGGAAGGCGAAGCTCCGGATGTCGTCGTCCAAGAACAAATTCCAGGAGCCTTCTGGGCGACTTGCTAAGCAGGCGCGCCATTGCGCCGGAAGTCCAGCGTCTGTGCGCGGACCCACGAGCACGTCGAGGGCCAGGTTGTCGTAGCGAGCCCCGTCTTGACCGTCGCGCAGACACAGAGTGATCGCCGATGGGGGAATGCTGCCGTCCGCGAAAAGCGCGGGCAGCGGGTCGCGCACTAGGCCTTGCGCCCGACGCGTGGAGCATATAGAAATTCGGTAGGCGGGTGGGGCGCCGAAGGGCGTGGGCAACGGGCGCTCCGAAGTGGGAGCACGGAAGCCCAGCGAGCGCAGAACCAGTGAGACGCGACCGGACGCGGGTAGGGTGAAGAAAACGACGCTCAATCTGTAGCCGTCGTGGGGGCAAGTCGAATGGACTCGCTGGCCGATGAACTTGCGCCAGCGGTGGCGGGTGTCGCGCCGCGCACCTCGCATGCCGCTGAAGTCTTCGCCGCCTTCGCCTTGCGCGAAAAGCTCGCCTCCTTCGTAGCTCCCCGTCCCAAGGACCCAGCTCGCGCCTACGTTGGCGCGGTCGACGTGCGGCGAGGCCGCGAAATCCACGTTCAAACAGATGGACGTAAAGCAATCCGGCGGCGCATCGCCGGCGATGCTTTCGCCCTGCAGCAGGGCCAGAAGCCCCGTCGCCAGCTCTCCGCGGAAGGCGCACGTAGCCCGGCTGACTCCGAAGCCGCCCCGGCGCAGCGGCACGGCGCCGACCGTAATCGAGCGGGCCGGCTCGTCGCAGATGTTGCCCCGGCGCTGCGTCGGGATTTGCGCACCCTGCAGGAATTCCAAGAGCGCCTGCATTTCTCGACGCCCGCGCTCAGCAACGGCTGCCGGGGCCGGGGGTCTCGCGAGGTCTCCGTTCGCGGGCACTGGCCATCTGTCACACACTAGCACATTAGCGTTGCGACGCTGCACGCAGCGCTATATCAGGGCAGCTCCACAGTTACCCTTCCTCGCACGGCGCGCAGAATTGGCTGGTAACCAACGCCTTTGATGTCCATCCGCAATTCGTTATCTTCCACGAAAAGGGGGCTTGGACCATAGAACAGGAAGGCAACCTGGTTCCCAACTCGGCATCGCGGGTCTTCCTTTTCGAATAATGCGCATATCTGCGGGAAGTCCAGTCCTTGATATTTGGAAACCATGGCCTTGACTGCTTCTACGAGGGTCTGCATTGTCCTTGCGTGCTTCGCTTCCGTACGCCAGCGGTGGCTGTCAACCCTCACGACATCCGGACATGACTCGCTGTCGGTCGCCTGGAACTCCATTTCCTGTTGGCGAAACTTTTAGCCACACTGGGTGGGCACCGGACATCCCTCGCGCGCGCTACAGGCAGGCTTCGCTTCTACAACGCTCTCGCAACAATCGTCACGCTCACTCCGCTACGGACATCGGTTCCAGACGCACCACCTGAGAATCACAGCTGCAGGCCAAGCGCTTGCTCGCCAGAGCTTGGCGCAGCTCAGCGCCTTCGAGCTGGATTGCCTCGAACACTATTCCGACAGCCCCAATGGTGTGGCCGTCCAAAACGGGATGACCAGTTCTGACGCGCTCGACCAGAAGGTTCAGCATGCGGCTGATATCGCTAATCGCGCTCACGGGGACATCTTCCACGAAGAACTCCGGGTCTGCACCAACTGTGTACAAGAAGGCCTCGGGTGCGCCAGGGTCGGCGACCACCTGAATTGCGTGACCGTGGCGGGCGATTCGTTCCCAAAGACTCAATCGCGCGGCGTGCGGGCCGGCGGCGCAGCATTCGCAACGGAGTTCCGGAGCCGACATGTGCGCACGTGGCGAGAAGCAGTTTTCACGGCGCGCCGCGGGCGTCGACTGCCCTTTGCTCCACACACAGCGGCTGTTCCTTTGAGAAGTGGCCGGACGAGTATTCTACTTCTCTGAACGCGGCCAGGGTGCTCTGCCTTGCGCCCGCCCGCCGTACGGCCACGGAGAGTTGGCGCGGTTTCGCCAGCGCGCCATCCGGCAGCTCTGGAAGCGCGGCGCGGAGCACTTCTATACGCTTTTTCGTATACTGTATCCTGTCGGTCTCCGCCCGCCTTTCCTTCTTCTCCACCATCCTCGCGGCCAGGCGCTTCGCGCCGGCGCGAAGCGCCATGCCCTCCGGGCATGCGGTAACGCCGGGCTGGCCTACGGCTCCCCTTTACATGTGGGTCGCGGACAGGTGCGGCGGCTGCTCTGCCGCGGGCAGCGCTGGAGAGGGGCCCGATGCCTTCGAAGCGCGTGTGGTTCAACGGCCCTTGAGCGAGGACATCATCCACACGCGCTCGGTAACGCTGCGGGCCACCGCAACTTCGCCAGATTTAAAGACGCACCGGGAGCGAGCTGCTGCCGCTGCAATGCCCGGAGGATTTGCTTCCGCGCTCCCCGGCGGGCCTGCCCCAGCACCGTCTCAGCCCAGAGAGGCCGCAGACCTGCGCCTATTCCACGTCGCAAGGGACACCTTCCAGCAGTATTTGGCCAAGCAGGAAGAACTGTTGTGGAGGATGTCCCATCTGCTGCGACCTACCGACAAACTGCGCAAATCCAAAGAGCGCTGCCCCTCCCTCAGCCCCTTCCAGTCGTGCGCGGACAACTGCGCCGCGAATTTCGCCGACTCCTGCGCCGACCGCAAGTTTCCAGGCTTCGAGTCCTTCATTGATGTCTTTTACGGCAATTGCTGGCTGGTATTCACGCGCGCTGAGGCTTGGGGCAAGCAGGAGTTCGCGGTTTCGAGCGCCTGATTCCCACGCCGCCGACCGCCCGCGCGCTGACGCTGATGGACCGCGCCCTGCTCCGCGATTTGGGATCGCTCGCTGATGACTTCATGCGCCAGGTGCGCTCGCTCCCGCACTTCCGACCAGCGTGGAACGCCAAGGAAGTGCGCAGCGGAAATGTCGCCGAAGGTGATCTCAACCGCACCGAAAAGAAATTCTGCAAAAACTTCACCGCGGCCGAGCAGCTTGTGGCGGCGCAGCCTTTGTGCGCGCAAGACAAATTCGCTTTGCTCTTGTGCTTCCGCCAATTGCCGACATCCGTGGTGAAAGAAATTGTGGGCTACACGGCCCGCTAGGTTATTTTCCGATGCGCCACGGCCGAACCATCCCTTGCACCTTTCTCCGGGTTTCTCCGCGCCTGCCCGGGCTGGCGACGGCCCTGGCGACCCCACAGCCCAGCGCGCGGGTTTCTCGCCTTTCTTTTTTTTTAAAATGAAACCAAAGGTTACCCACCCGCTGGCCCCCAGTGAGGGGGGCGCGCGCCGAAGAAACGAAAGGCGAGAAAGCCGCTCGCTGAACTAAAGGCCCGCATAGCGGCGAATCAGAGAAGACCCTTTCGCGGAATCCCAGGGAGGCGCCCAAGGCGAGACCGAGCGCGTTCGACCGCCGGCGATTTGCATCCCGCCAAACAGATAATCATCAGAGCGTAGACTAATGCTACCAGAAGCAATGGCTGTCACGACGGGCAGCCAGAGCATGGACGTGGCGCCGTCCACAGGCAGCCCGGGATCGAAGCGAAAAATCGAGAGGGAAACGCGACCGTGGGGCAGCATCTATGCTTCCTTGTGCGAACACTGGATGCGATTGCGACGCCTCCTGAAGCGCCCGCGCATATTGAAAATAGCTTTGGTACCCAATGCTATTTCCCAAACGATCCGCTACGGCTTGATCACAATGACGCGTCTGCAAATCGCACGTGCAGAAGCACGCAAATTCTGCTGAGCAGGCTTGCGCAGCGAACGATCGCTGAGGGAAGCCAACCAACACACGATAATTCAATGTATGCTTGAAGAGATCTATCCGCTCGCCGCAAGCGTCGCAAGGCACTTGCCCCGCCCGCGGGGCGTTGCAGGTTCCCAGCGACAGAGCTCATCGGCCTCGCACCTGGGCTCCACACCTTTGCGCCGCAGGTGGCAAGGTGCGGGCGGCGCTTGTCGCTGCCGCGTATGTTCAAGAGGAGGCGCAGCTGGCGCAGCGCCCGAGCGCAGCCCTGTTTGGATTTGCGCCGCTTCGTAGAAGTGCCCGGCGAGATTTGGGCTCAGCGACAGCTGGAGGCGGCGCATGGCCGCCAAAGTTTCCGCTTTGGCCCGCAGCGTCAACCACTCTTCCCTCGCCACGATATATTGCCGAAGCTCCTGCTTCAGGAGCGCCTCTGCGAGTTGGAGAGCTCGCCGCTTGTGGAAGTGCGTATCATTCGGCCGATTCGTCCGCGCCACAGCCAGCACGTCGACCCCGGAGGGGTAGCTGTACTCCCAGTCCGCCAAGCGACGCAGCAGGTTAAACGAATAACCGATCTTGATTGGGGAGCCGCGCAGCCCGCGCGGCTGGATAGCATAGAGGCCGCCTTTGTCGCAGCCTGTTCGTGTTGAGCAGAACCGGGCAAATTCAGAATAGGACGCCATGATTTCTTTTAATCGTCTGCGCCGATCTCGCCCAGGAGCTGCCTGAACATGGGCGGCCCGCTGCCCGCTGCCCGAGCTCTCGCCCCTGCCTGGTGAGCGTACCTGTTGCGCGCGGCGACAGCCCTAATGCCCTGGGCCACGTCGCGTGCAGCGTCATCTTCAAACGGACATTCCTTTGGAATCGGCCCACGCAGCGAGCTGAGCAGCGACCTCCGCGCATGGGTTGTTTCACAAGAATCCGCTGTCACCGCGCGAAGCCGTTCTCAATCGGCGTCCATCTTTGATTACGTATAGACCGGGCCCATCCCAATCAGGGCAGGCCACTTGAATTTTTTTCCGGCGTCGCCATTCAGAGGATGCGTTTTACCATTGACGAGCACTCTCGTACCACGACGCTCTTCAAAATTCTCAGGGTGTCTGCGCTCGCTGGGCGGTTGGAGACAGCCGGGGCGGCCAGGGAGAGCAACGCGGGATATGGAAATCGGCGCGGCGTGGCGCAGCCCGGTGCATAGGCTCGCGGGTGTTCTGGGGCGCGAGACTGTCTTAATCCTGGCGCCCCTTGCGCTCCCGGCGCTCCTTGCGCTCCCGGCGCTCGCGGCTTTCCCGGCATTCTCGGCGCTCCCGGCTCTCCCGGCGCTCCTGGCCCGCCCAGCGCTCCTGGCCCTCCCGGCCGCCCCGGTGCTCCCGCCACTCCCGGCGCTCCGGCCACTCCCGGCGCACCCGGCGGCTCCGCGAGCCCAGCTCTCCCGGCGCTCGCCCAGCTCTCCCGGCGCTCCCGGCTTTGCTGGCGTCCCAGCGCTCCCGGCGCTCCTGGCGTGCCCGGCACTTCGGCGTTCCTCCCAGAGGGCCTGGACTTGCTAAAATAAGCGTTCAGTTCTTGTTGAACAAGCGAACGGTTGAAATAAGCGTTAGCGGTTGTTTTAAGCGTTCGCGGTTATTTTAAGAGTTGGCTGTTATTATAAACATATGCAACATAGCATGTTAACTACAATGTTATCATATTAAGTATGTTTATCATTCGCGCATGCATTTCTCACGCGCGTCGCGCCCCACATGCGCGCGGCATGCACTTCTCACGCGCATCGTGCCCCACGTGCGCGCGATATCGCACCCCTCGCGCGCATCGTGCCCAGCGCGCGTGCGATATCAAGATAGAACGGCGCACCCCTCGCGCGCATCGTGCCCCACGCGCGTGCGATATCTAGTAAATTGCCTTCGGCAACGCCCCGCCAGCCACTGTGGTGCCCGCGCGGTGCCCGCGCCGCCGAGTCGTGGGGCGGCACCCAACATCGACAAGAACGACACATACAAGGCCACCGTGGGGAGAGGGGGGCCCAGGGACAGCCGCAAGGAGGAGGGAGGAGGAGGAAGAAGCAGGGACAGCCGCAAGGAGGAGGGAGGAGGAGGAAGAAGCGGAAGAGGAGGAGGAGGAGGAGGAGGAGGAAGGGGAGGAGGAGGAGAAGGAGGAATTCAGAGGAGTAGGAGGAGGAGGAGGAGGAAGAGGAGGAGGAGGAGGAGCGGAACAACGAGGAGGAGGAAGAGGAGGAGGAGGAGGAAGAGGAGGAAGAAGAGGAGGAGGAGGAGGAGGAAGAGGAACAAGGAGGAGGAAGAGGAGGAGGGGGAGGAGGAGGGAGGGGGGCGTAGGAGGAAGTAGAGGAGGGAGGAGGAGGAGGGCGAGCAAGGCGAGGAGGCTGAGGGAGGAGGAGGGAGAGGAATAAAGGGGAGTTCGCAACGACGCGCGTGCACCCCCCGCCAGGCCTTCCGCCTGGGGGTGGGAGGAAAGGGGGAAGGACAATCGAGGAAGGAGGAGGGGAGGAGGAGGGGGAGGGCGATCGAGGAGGAGGAGGAGGAGGAGGAGCGGGAGGAGGAGGAGGAGGAGGAGGAGGGGGAGGAGGGGGATAGGGGGAGGGTGAGGGGAATAATCATTTGCGCGAGCAGGAGAAGGAGGGGAGGAGGATGAGGAGGAGAAGGGAGGGAGGAGGTGGTGGAGGAGGAGAGGGAGACGATGATGAGAAGGAGGAGGAGCACGGAAGGGCGCGTTCTCTCATCCTCATCCCCATCTTCGTCCTCTTCCCCTGCCTGCTCCCCTTGCTTCTCCTCCACGTCTTTCACCTTCTCCATCCTGCCTCCCCCCCCCATCCTCTCTCCCCCTCCCCCCCGCGTCCCTCGTTCTTCCTCTCCTCCTCCTCCTCCTCCGCCTCCTCTTCCTCCTCCTCCTCATATCTCCATCCGTCCTCCTTATCCTCCTCGCCTTCGTCCCTTCTCCCCCTCATCATCGCTCCTCTCGTCCTTTCTCTCCTCCACCTCTCATTGCCCATCATTCCCCCTCGTCATTCTTGCCGCTGGCGGCGCGCCGCAGTGGCTCAGGCACCGCGCGGCGCGCCAGTGCCTCAAAGCTTCCTCCACCTCAAGTCCTCAGGGAGGGAGGCGGCAAGGATCCTTCATCCTCCTCGTCCGCTTCCTGCTTCTCTTCCTGCTCCTCTCCTCCTCTAATCCTCATCCCCCTCCTCCTTCTCCTTCTCTTCGCCCTCCTCCCCCTCCTTCTACGCCTCCTCCTCCTCCTTTTCCTTATCCTCCTCCTCCTCCTCGTCCTCCTCCTTGTCCTCCTTCTGACCTTATCCATCTCCCCATCCTCCTTCTCCTCCCCCCCCTCTTTCTGGGCTCTTGTTTCGGATCGGCGCCATCGGCTGCCACCGGTCGTCGGGCCGCCGTCGACTTATGTCGTCGTTGTCGTAATCGTCGCATCTGTTGTATCTGTCGTCGTCGTCGTCCTCCTCCTCATGCTCCCCATCCTCCTCCTCCTCCTCCTCCTCCTCCTCCACCTCCTCCTCCCCCTCCTCCTCCTCCTCCACCACCTCCTCCTCATCTTCCTCCTCCTCCGCCTCCTCCTCTTCTTTCTCCTCCTCTTCCTTATCCTCCTGCTCCTCCCCATCCCCCTCCCCCTCCTCCTCTGTCTCCTCCGTCTTCTCCTCCTCCTTCTCCTCCTCCTCCTCTTTTCCCATCCTCCCCCTCCTCCTCCCCCTCCTCCTCCTCCTCCTCATCCTGGGCCGTTGGGTCGGATTGATTTCGTCGGCCACCGCCGGTCGTCGGGCCGCCGTCGATCGTTGTCGTTGTCGTCGTCGTCGTGGTCATGTCCGTCGTCTCCGTCGTCGCAGTCGCCCGTGTTAGCCGTTACGTCCATCGTATTTGTCGTCGTCGGCACTAGTTCATGGTGTCATCGGTGCGTCATCGATGCGCCATCGATGACGCATCGATGACGCATCGATGCCACCACGTCCACATCATCACCCACCACGTTTGATCAGCACACCCCGTGGTCCACGATGTGGAACGGCGACGTAGGGCTGTCGTCGTCGGTCTCCAGCTCGTCTGCCACCTGCTCGAAGTTCGCCTGCGAGCTGGCCTCCAAGATGCCGCGCCTCGTCTCGTAGCGCGTGCGGGGTTGCTGCTCCTTGCCTGTGCCCTTGCCCTTGTCGAACTGCGCCGTGCCCTTGCCCGTGTCGAGGTCTCCCGTGCCCGTGCCCTTGTCGGGCTGCTTCGTGTCCTTGCCCTTGTCGAGCTGACCCGTGCCCGTGCCCTTGTCGAGATTGCTTGTGCTATTGCCCTCTTCGAGCTGCTCCGTGCCCTTGCCCTTGTCGAGCTTGCGTGTGCCCTTGCTCTTGTCGAGCTGCTCCGTGCCCTTGCCCTTGTCGAGCTCCGCGCACGTGCCCTGGCTGCCTTGGGAGGCCTCCTGCGCAATCGCCCTCGCGTGCTTGTTGTTGATGTACCGCGCCAGCTCCTGGTAAGTCCAGAGGGGGTCGGCATCGTCGTCGTTGTCGTGCCCCCACTCCTCGTAGTACTCGTCGAGCAGCTTCTGCGCGCAGTACACGTCCAACTCTGTAGTGGACAACCTATCCCACCAACAACTGCCCTTGATCGTGTCAGCGGCGTTCTCACCAATGCCGTCGTCCTTGGCGGTGCCAAGGTCGTCCGCATATGTCTCCTCGGCGGCCTGCATCGCCTCGATGCGCTCGCGGGCGCTCTCGGCGCGCTGGTGCTGGCGAGGAACGTACTCCTCCAAAGCTCCGTCGGACATCTCGCCGTCGTAGTCGCCCGTGTCAGCCGTGCCATCCATGTCCTCATCATCGGGGCCGTCGTGATCGCGTTGCAAGCCGTCGTAGGGGTCTTGGGTAGCCGCTCCGCCGTCCTGAAGCGCGTCTCCATGAGGCTCGCTGCCAGCCGCCGCGCCGCGCCCGTCCTCGTGGCCAGCGTCAGGACCGTCGCTGTCGCTCATGCTGGTGTCCAAACCGAAGTGCATCGCATTAGCCCGCGCCCAGTCGACGCCGTCTCTGCACCAGCCATTCGGGTCGGCGTTGATGCGAGTGATGACCTCGCGTGGTGAAAGATCGTGAAGGGGCCCTGTAACCTTGAGCTGAAGGAAAAGCCTCGGCGGCATGACCAATGATGTCATGCTCTCGGTGCGAGTCGGGATGTAAAAAACAGTAGGCTCGACGAAACCCATATTCGAGCCAAAGCAGCTAGACCACCATCGCGTTTCTCAGCGTTTAGAACATGTTAGCGATGCTGTTGCACGCTATGTATGGCTCGATCTATGTGCTTGTGGTGTGGTTGTTCCCCCACCCTCTCTCTCTATATATATATCATGTTCTGTATATCTCGCTCGTCGCGGGTTGTTCTCTTAATCGCCGACGGGGGTCGGGGGGTCTTTGGAGCGAGCCGTCATCGATCCGCTGAGCTGGTCAGCGATGCAACGCAAGCCACGCAATGCAACTGAACTCCCGCGCCGAGAACTGCGGGGGGAAGGGGCGGGCTGGTTGCAATAAAATCGCCATCGATCGTTGAGATGACGCAATCCAGTCGATGCATATCGAAATCGCTGACCAGGGCCCAATTTTGAAGTGAAGCTCCCTCCATCCAACGCGACGCAAATTGAGGTTGGAGCGTGCTTCGAGCGACAGTCGGGGAGGAGTGGCCTCACGCGACAGAGGGTGAGGAGGTGGTTGATGAGGAGTGGCTTACACATCGAAGCTGGTCGAGCTGGGCATTTGACTGGCAGGAACGGACTCGACTTGCGCCTCGCACGGTGCACTGGCTACGACTGGCGCCTCGCACGGTTGGCTGCGACTGGCGCCTCGCGCGACTGGCTGCGGCTGGCTCTCGGCTAAAAATGTTATGATCCTGTAGTTGCTTGGGCTGAAGCGCCTCGCGGCACGCGTGGCTCGCCCTCCCGTCTGCCTCCCATGGCTCGCCCTCCCGTCTGCATCTCCTGGCTCTCCCTTCCGTCATTCCTTCATTCCTCCCTTCCCTCGTGCAGTTACTTGGGCTGAAGCGCCTCGCGACACGCGTGGCTCACCGCCCGCAGCTGGAAACCCAGCCGCTGATGTTGCTGCCAAAGGTGCAGCTTGAAAGAATGCGAGAGCCTGCATGCAGCACAGATTCACTGCAGGACATAGTCTGCGGCATCACTGGATATCATCCTTCGCGGCCTGCAAGGCCCTTAACTCTTGGACCATCCTGTCAGCCGTCACGTAATACCACCTTTTGTTATCCGTCACGACATCGCCGTCCAAGAGCGCTTCGCCCACAGGGAGGCTGCCCGCGCAACGGCGGATCTCGATGTGGTTCGGCGAGAACTCCAGGGTAAAGTTGTTGTTCACCTTCACAGCCTCGAAGTGGCTCATGATGGTGATCTTCATGTCCTTGACCGTCGTGCGGACCTGCCCGTTCGTGGTGAGCTGACGGTTTGGCAGCCACACTTCTTGCCAATGGTTGCACGGCTCGATGTAGACCAGCACCGATAGTAGGTTCGTCGGGTCCGATGGCCCCATGTACACCCAGCGCAGGAGCGGCTCCTCCTGTGAGTGGAGACCTTCCTCGGCAGCCTTGTCCAGCACGACGCCGCTGTTCGCCGTCCAAGCCACGAGCCACGTCAAGTAGAAGACCTGGTCATCACCCTGCAACGGATCGCCGCGAGGCTGCTGCGCAGAGCACCTGTGCAAGATGATATCCTTGTCGTCCTCCTGTTCGAAAACGCTCAAGCGGTGCTTGAGCTCAACCAGGATGTTCTTAGCCATGACGTACTCGATATTGTAGATGATCTCCTGGGCGACTTCCTCGAAGGTCTGCTTGTTGACCTCGTGGGGCTTCGTCTTCTGAACGTTCAGCTTGATCCAGGTGTTGCACTGCGGCACGTAGCAATGCATGATGTAAGCGTTCTTCGTGCTTCCTGGAGAGGTGCTCCAGTTCGCGGAGCGCGGGCTGCCTCCGAAAGACATGGCGCGTCTCGCGGGCTCGCCGCGCGTAGAGAAACGAGCAACTCACCACGCGAGCCTCGAGCCCAACAGACGTCTAAGGACAAACGGGTTTCCACGTTGGTGCCATTGACATCTTCATCGTCGCAGTCGCGACTGTCGTCCTCGTCGTCTCGTCGACCGTCGTCCACCGTGGTCGTCGCTGTTGGTCGTCGGTCGCCAGTCGGAGGGTTGCAGTTTGCGAGACATCGGCGACGCATCGGCACCGTCATCGATGACGGCATCGATGACGCATCGATGACACAACGCCGATGCATCGAACCAGGAGGGTTAGGCGGGGGGCAGCGGGATGGCTTAGGGTTCCCGCAATCTCCACCCCAGGGGTCTGGCACCGAACGGCGAGATGAGACGGGAGCCTTGCACCAGAGAGCGAGCAGGATGTCACAGGGCCAGCGCCTGTTGTTGAATTAGATGGCTGTTCAGGGAGACCGCAGGGGGGAATGCGGATGAAGAGGGTCGCCCCGAGGAGGGGGAGGGGGAGGAGGAGGGGGGGGGGGGGAGGATGGGGGGGAGGATGAGGGGCAGGAGGAGAAGGACGAGACGGATCAGGAAGAGGATGATGAGCAGGAGATGGGGCGCGTGCTGCAGGGGGTGAGCGACAGGCGGTGAG